ATAACACCATGTAACTTTTTTGTTCTCTTTTCTTATTCTTATTTTTCGCCCAATAATATATTATAATTTATGACCAGTTTTTTTCGGTATACCTCGAATATAACAGGAAGTAATCAACCTAATATACCTAGGCAACCTGTATAACTTTATACTGCTCACCTTGTTGCCTATATCCGTTTGATTATTTACTTTGTTACCTGTAACCTGTTGCCCATCATAGAACTCGATACTCGATACCAACATATCTATGCCTGTTGCTCACACTGTTGATCTACCTACCAGTCTACCATGCCTTTTATTTTCAATGCCAACTTTTAAACTCTTAGGCGCGCTTCGAAATATTTTTCGGGGTTTCTATTTACATAGGTACATACATAATTAAAATTCGCGTATTTTGTTTTTTTTTACATAAATTTTAATCTATCAACGGTTGGTATAAATAACACATACTTCATGAATGGATAAAATTTTTCTTGAATCAGTTACATACGTAAACAATGAATAATGTGATAATTATTATCCGTGTTTTTTTATAATATCGAATTGGAAGTGTGATTAAAACAATCGACCGCACAACAAGACATAATTAATAATATTTCACTGTTATATTTTTAACATAAATTATATTTATAATAATATATTTACTGTTAAAATACCTAAAAAATTATAAAATCGTCACCAATTATGTCGAAGGTCGGGATGTGTTTTGTACTTTCCAAAAAGCTGACGTTACAAAGCGCATCTTTGACTTAAAAAAAAAAATTAATAAATACCTAATATATTCTAGAAAATCCACTCTGGATGTTTATTGGAATATACAGAAATTATTATACATTTATTTGAATTTAAAATGTACATCTATTATAAACCGCAAAGGTTGTAAACAATGGCGTAGTAAAGGGGGATTTTTGTATTATGCTATTTTATATTTAAATGCAAACAATTAATTTTTAGCGTTATTATGCACTTTTGGAAACAAACCTGAAACAAATCGATTTTTATTCTTAATTTGACAATATATAGTATGAAAATATTACCCCTTCTTCCACTTCCTCTGAAATATGAGCTTAAATGAAAAAAGTAGTGTAGTACCTTGTTTGAAAGGCATTTTATTTTTCTCTTTGACAATATAAAGTTTTTTAAATTTGGTGCATCATAACTGAGAAATTTAAAAATGTAAAATTTATATAATGTCTCAATGACAATGAAGCAAAGAATGTTACATAATATTAAGAGCGTATTTTTTAATTTATTTTACAATTAATTCTTTGCTACTTTTGTGATGGAGACATTATCCAAATTTTCCATTTTAAAAATTAATTTTCTTAGTTATGATTGCATTAAAAACACTTTATATTGCTAAAGAGAGAATTAAAATCCCTCTTAAACGAAGTGCCACACGATTCCCTTTCTTATTTAAAAATTTCTAGGAAGGGCCCATATTTCAGATGGGGTGCAATAGAGGGTAATATTTTCATTAATTTTAATTGTTGTCATATTTAATTTTTCTTATGGGTTTTTAAATAATTTTTTTATAATACTTTCTAGGTTAAATTTTATATGTATAACAACTGCAACTGGTTGCAACTAATTTCCGTTGAAATTTATTTATTGTGGTACAATCTTTGTATTTAACTCTTTTATTTTTCTGAAATCTTTCAAAATTTTACTACAAATAATAAAACATATACATGGGTGTCAATTTGGATATGAACATCATTTAATATTGCCTTTTAAATAAATTCCACACATTTGTAAGGTTAGGTACTTCAATTTAAAAAAAAAAAATAATAAGGAACATAAGGAACACAAAAATGGTAAAAGAAATAGTGGTTGGCATTTTAAATTTTAGGGGTATTGTTACGAAAGTCTAATTTATTTTTAGTTTATTTATTTAAAAACACACTATTTACAATTTATATCAGAAGTACTATTTAATTTATATAATATTTAGACACTAACTAACAATTCTAATTTATTTCTTACACTTTAACTTTTCAATACAATGTTCTATATTAAACTCTACTGTCCGCCGACGAGTCGGCTATTTATATTAAGTCCAACTCCTACTAGAAGTCTCCAGACGGTCGTCTCGAAAATTCTATCTCTGACTCAACGGCACACTCCGCCCGTTCTACCCGTTTCTCGAGCCGCAGCGGCATTCCCAAACATTTCGTCGCCTCGAGCACGAGTTGGTTGCCTTCTGAAGGCCGCACTTGCTTTAGGCACAGGGTCGGATTAGGAATTTCATGACAGTATGTTCCTTGGAGGTCAGGGAGTTAAAAGTAATACAACAACAAATGCCTCAATAATTGTCCCTCTTGATATGTAATTTAAAGCGTGTGCCAAATTTTCACACTATCATTGGTAGAGGCAATATTAGATGCTGTTCGTTTTCATATTGACATCCTATATAAGTTCAATATAAAGTTATAAATCTACATTTTGACCATTTAAAATACAGTGAAGTGGCGACCTTAAGCTTAAATTAATTTAGTCAGGAAAATTTAACGAGGATACTTACTAAACCATCTTTTTGGCACACTCTGCATACGTGTATTTTTTATAATAATAAAGTGTATAACATTTGTATAACTATGTATAAATAATCTATTTATATTTGATTATTTAGTTGTTTTTCAAAAAGATTGGTATTGCTGCGCAAAAGCCAACCCTGTGCTTTGTTTAATCCTTGCCCACGGTATGAAATCTAGCAATATAGAGACAAACGTAACGCTTCGAGAAACTACTGGATTGATCCCTTTGGATTTAAGTGTTGGACAGAAAAGATAAATTGTAATAAAATAAAGACAAGAATCTCACTGAGCTTAGATAAACATGCGACAGTATTCCAGGCAGAAATAGCAGCAATACATCACTGCGCAAAAGAGGTATTAAGACGGAAGGTAAATGTAAAAACCATTATCATTTACTTAGACAGTCAAGTGACGTTAAAAGCACTCAGTTCCATGCAGGTTTACTCAAAGCTTCTGTGGGACTGTCTGGAAGCCCTAACAGAGTTGGGTAGTCAAAACAGATTAACCTTAGCCAGAGTATTGCCACAGAGAAGGGCAATGAAGAGGCTAATTTACTAGCCCGAGAAGGAGCCTCAAATGCTCTTATTGGCCCAGAACTCTTCTGTGGTGTAACAAAAAGAACTATCAGAACATGCACAAAGCAGTGAATGTTTAAATAATCTCAGGAGTGGTGGAAAAACTCACCAGGACAGAGACAGGCCAAAGAGTTCTTAAAAGGACCATCGCCTTAACTCATCGAGCATCTACTAAGCCTTAATAGAAAAAATACTGAGAACTAAAGAGTTCTAGCCTCTAGCACTTTTTGAATAATTTTAAGTATTAATAACAAACAGAATTTATAAACCATACTGAGATGCTGGCACATTATGACGAGTTCTAGAATATATAACACTTATTAATTATATATTGACTCTCTCTGCAATGAAATCCGAAAAGTTCTAGCCTTTAGAACCTTTTTAACAAATTTACGGATGGTTGGATGTTGTGTAAATTTGTGTTCACTCTGTTCTAGTGATCAAGCCAGTTGTTTAAAATATTTTGCTTTATATTTTATTTGAAGTCCTTGTGAAGTTGAATATTTTCTAGAGCTAGATCGGATGATGAAGCTTCTTTTGCTGCCTCGTTAGCTCTTTCGTTGCTAAAGATATCCAAAACCAAACCAATAAAAAACGAAAATTCTGTTGGTGGAAAGAGCGTGGCATATTTCGAAGATAAAAATATCCGTTATTCTCTAATATTTTTGTAATTTAATCTACTCTTATAATTCGTGGTAAAAATTGCATTCTTTCATTTAATATTTTTAGAACAAAATTAAATTACTAAAAATAAACAGCACCCTCCGGCAGAGCTGGGAGTACCTTAGAAAAAAAGATACTTTTCAGTATCTAAGATACAAGATAGTATCTTGTATCTTGTATCTAGATACTTTTTCATGTGATACAAAAGTATCTAAATTTAAAGATACTTTTTAAAAGTATCTGTATCTTGTATCTATTTTTAAGTATCTAAGATACTTCAAAAGTATCTAAGATACTTTACTTTATAAGTATCTTAGATACTAAAAAGTATTTACGATACTGTAAAGTCTAGCCACATGTTCAGACCTGTCGATTATGCGCTGATCGGTGAGTTGCATTGCAGAGGATTTCATGCTGGCAGTATACTTGGAGAAGAACAAATCTCTTTGTGAATTAGCTAGGTACTCTGTATTTACTAGGGTTGCCAGACTTGCTTGTACGCTTTTTATGCAAATGCCACGCTTTTTAAAAGTCGCAGAGGAATCGGATTTATATAAAAATAGAGAAATGCCCTGGTAAAAGACCTTGGTTTTTACGAAAAATAAGCTGAGGACCTTTTTCTTTTTTTTAACGGCAATAAATCATTCTCAATATTAAACTTAAGGATGTAGAGTAGTCAGAAAAACAAGAAGTATTCTAGTTGTGGCATCTCACTGATGACCACAATTTTCAAAGAAAATCTGCAGCATTGACTGTCGCAGATATTTCATAAGTATCTTAGCTACTAAAAATATCTAAGATACCTTATAAGTATAAGTATTTTAGATACTTTTAGAAGTATCTTAGATACTAAAAAGTATCTTGGATACTTTTAGAAGTATCTTTCTCAAAAGTCATCTTAGATACTTTCTTCGAAAGTATCTTAGATACTTTTTAGAGGTATCTTGTATCTAAGATATTTTTAATACTTAGTATCTTTTTCTAAATGTATTTTAAGATACTTTTTACGAAAGTATCTAGATACTTTTTTAAAGTATCTTTCCCAGCTCTGCCTTCTGATTATAATTATTAGATTTCTAACAACGGGACACCGTACCCTGTATCGATATTCACAGTACGCTAATGATAAGAACAACTTTCCAACCTTTGCCGACGTTTGCTCGCTAGCCAAAGCAAGAGTGTGGTAGGCATGGTAGGGGCAAATGGGAAACGAAAACAGCACTCTCGCACTCTCACGAAATCGCCGAGTTGCGGTGTCAGAAACTCGCGAAAAAGTTAACCATATTTCGTGGAAATGTCGCTCAATAACAAATAACATTTAATATCAGTGCCAAAAGTGCAGTGAATTATGTGTAGCTTAGCTTATAGCTGAATAGTTACGTCTTAAAATAGTTATGTAGTAGTTTTGTGTGAGTTTGCTGCTTTTTTGTGTACCTGTGCCGTTTATCTACCTGTCTCTCTTTCATTATGAAGACTGATGGGCTATTGTTTTTGTTGATAGTTGCTGGTCTGGCTTTTCTTCAGGTATAGTCAATGTTTTTGTATTAAATATATTCTGTCTAATATTATTATTTACATTATTTCGCATACCTTTATTTAAAAAACTATTTAAAATACTCGAAGAATGTGTTTCCATTCAACCACAGTTTTTAAATATTTTTGAATGAATTCAAAATCCAAAACAAATTGTGTGGGGCTAGGCCCCTCGAAATTAGAAAATAATGATTTTATATGGTGGGAAGCGTTTGACCACCTATTAAGAATGTTTGACCACCCAGTAGCTTTTTCGACCACCCTCAGAAACATAAATATTTAAAATATTTTTATTTTGTTTATATTTACATTTTGTTATATATATTTTTATTTATATTTTTTGTCTTTTTTACTGTTATCTTTTTAATATTTTCAATTCGTTTTGATGCTGTCATTGTTTTATATTTAATATGGAACTTTGTTATACAATTCAGTAAAATGGGTTGTGACCAATATTTAAATAAATAAATACATAAATTAATGGTCGAGGGCTTGCTGACCGTCCGAATTATTTTTTAAAATTGTATGTACAATAGGCATAGGCGTCGACTTTTGTTTATTTCCAAAGGGCCGTACCATAATGCGCCCTGCCCCCCCCCCCGAGATTGTCAAATGTAATTTGAGTTGTCGATATATACTGGGTGTTCAAATTAAAGTGTTACAGTTAAATAAAAAGACGTTTTAGACAAAAGTTTTATCATTTTTTGAGGAAAACATTTTGGCTAAAATTGTTTTTTATAGTTAACCAACCATAATATGGATCAAAAACGGTTAAAGAAAAAAACATTAAATTTTAAACTTAAGTTTTATTTCGGCCTGACGTGAAATGATTAAATTTTGGACAATGTTCTGAAATGGTCCGTATTCGAGAAATTTGACAAAATGTAAAAAAATATTTTTTTATAAAAATTGTTCAAATAAAAGTTGTTTGTAATATAATTCTCTCTAAGTTTTATCCTATACATAATTTCTCTAAAATGGACCGTATTCGAGATATTTGAGAAAATGTGTAAATTTCGAATTTTGAAGAAAACTCAAAATCGGACAAAGAAAAAAACATTAAAGAAGAAAATTGTTCAAATAAAAGTTACTTCTAATATCTATAATTTTTGTTTTATGTCAAATTTTCCTGAAATGGTCTGTATTCGAGAAATTTGACAAAATGTGCAACATTCTGATTTTTAAGAAAATTGTTAAACTAAAAGTTGTTTGCGATATCGATCTCTATAATTTTTGTTTTTACATGATTTTTCGAAAATGGACCGTAATGGAAAAATTGGAGGAAAAGTGCTAAATTTAAGTTTTTCAGTATTTTCGTTTTCAATGAATATCTGTAGAAAAATGTTTCGAGTTAAATGTATGTGGAAAATTTAAACTAAATAGTTTATTCTCTAAGCCTATAATAACTAGATAGGAAAGTCATGTGATGGACATATCAGATTTTTTTGATTGTAAGCATGATAAAACAATTTTTTTTAAGAACACTGTTGTAAAGACGCTTCCAAGACCTTACAAATGAAGTATCACTCAACCCCTCTTCCCTATTCAATTTTGAGGGGTTTGAAGCGCCTCTTCATAGGGGGTTGCTCGTTCAAGCCTCAAATATACGTCAAAAGATGTCTCCCAAAGTAAATCATCCGTTTTTCGGGAAATTTTTACAATTACAATGGGATAAGAAATATACGGGGTGGCTCGTCTGAGATGGAACACCCTGTATATACTTTGCTAAACCAATTTCATCGATACCATCTCTGATCCGATCATTTTCAGAGTCCCTTTCAAGAAAACGAAATTTTAATTGACCACGAAAAATTAGAACCAGAGATCTCATGTAGAAACACAAGGGACGGCAACGCTGCAAACCCTGCATTTGTGAACGCCGTTACGTCAGAAGGAAGCTCTGATTGGCCGAAAATGACATATCTTTTGATTTTTAAGTTGGCGTCTATTTGCTTTTGTGTTTTAAATGTGAATTTTTAGTGAAAAATTAAATAAAAATTACTATTTTTAATTAAATAGTGTGTTTTATCGAGAGAGTATAAGTTATAAGAGGTGAGTAATCTATTTTCTTTGTATATTTCAAAACAAAACCGGCAAATGTAGTGTTTATTGATACCTAATTGTGTACCTGCAAAGCTTGAGACGATTTGAAAGATTTCTGTAAAATATTTGATATATAGCTGAAAATACATACTTTTATTTTTATTACGAAAACAATTCTCATATTTTTAAGTCAAAACTCTGTATCTATCATTTTACAAAATTATTGTGTAATACAGCTACAAGTGAGGTTATTATTTTTCACATAAATGGGTTTTAGCCATATTAAATGTCCCTTAAACAGGTTTAAGGGACTAAATCAATAGTTTATGTGAAAAATAGAATGAACCATAACGTTTTTTTTCTTCCATTTTTACTATAGGTACTTTTTATCTAATAACAGAAACTTTTGCTACCTATATATACATTCTTATTTAATAATTTACTATATTATAGAATTACATGTGTAAATGATGTAAAAAGCTAGAGATACCCATCAAATATTATCGTTCCTTTTTCTCAATAAAAATGTACCGAATTTTATACATATTTATAAGTATTTCTTTTGAGTAATTAAATAAATATATTAATTAAAGTAACCCTTTAATTAAAATGATTTTGAGAAATCTGTTAACGTGCAATAAAGTTAGGCGCCAATTTGATTGCTTCTCAAACAGTGGCGTGGTCTTTAATAACCGGGTTAGCTACAAATTTAAATTTAAAAAATGTCCTATAAAAATATATTTAAGTATATAGGTCATGTCAAAAAATCTGAGATTTATTCGCTATTAAAATAATACCACTATTAAAAATACTTAAAATTTATCAACTCGCAAATTATTAAAATTGAGTTGGTAAGTACAGTTTTTTTTTCACTTAGGTTCTTTTAAAAATCCTAAGAGTGGAAATTTTGCAATTTTTTTGTTTTTTAAGTAAATTTAATTTACAATTCATTCTGATAGTGATATTAAAAAAAAAAAAAGCTACAGGTGTTTGATTAAGGTCTCTCAGTGGCTGTATTTCAGAAACTATTTATCCTATGACTTGAAAAACATCATTTATAACAAAGTCGGTAGAAAGAAAATTCTGGAATGTATTTTCTACTTTCTTTTTGCTATGATAATGCAAAGAATCACTTTTCAACCTGTAAATGATGACAATTAAAAAACGACAATATTGAAGAAAATTTACGAAAGTTTTATCATATCTATGGTTTTATCCAACATTTTTTACTCCCATTTAATAAAATAACTGGTAGGGGCGATTGGGGTCCTTAATTTAATAAAACTATTATAACTACGGTATCGTTCACCAGTTTTTAAAAAACTTAGTATCGATTAAAAGCAAATTGATTGATTAGTAAATTTTTTTAATATAGTTCAGATTCAAGTAACCATTTGGGAACGCGCGACAAGCGACCCGAGACCGAGACAGCAGTAAGGCGGCAAATATTGCCATACTAAATTTATTGTCGTCGGTCTCGTCTACCGAAATGAGTTTTATATAATTACATGTGTTCAGACGTGAAGAGACCATTTTTAGTCACTCTCATTGTCGCGTCGCGTTTTGAAGTTGGTCTCGGCATGCGAAATGGTAGCTTCAGTTGTTTAAACGAGCACTAGGGCGTTGTTTAAATATTAACCATTTTTTTGAAGTTTTCTTGAAAAATTTAAATGAAATGTTGTAATTTGTATACTTTATTTAGAAAGAGAATTTATTTCTGACAAAAAACAGTAAAAACCGGGTTTTATTATATTATTATAAACACACATAATTATTAAAATTAGATTTTATTTAACTCTTTAGTGTAAGTTTACTGGTTTAATAAAACTAAAAATGTGAAATACAAATTGAATATAATAATAAAAACAAAACAAGTAACTAAAAACGGAACAAAATAAAAAAGGAAACACCAATTAGTCATGGGGTTTTTTTTGGGGACACTGAAGCACTGAACCTGAATTTCACGTCGAAAACGACCATCCCAACACCTGGTGCACCGGAACCCCCGAGGGTTTTCCAGACACGATCGCTAAAAACTAATCGAAAAAACCTCCCGTAATGATTTGGTGAGGAAAACTCTCGGAGACGACGTTCAGGCCCAGGTTCCGGTGCACTAGGTGTTCAGGGGAACGTTTTCGACGTGAAATTTTAATTAAGCTCGCACAGAAACGCCCCTACAATAATTGTCCAGTTGTTTTTGGCGATCTTGTCAGAAAAAATCTCGGGGATGACGTCCACTTTCAGGTTCGGGCGTATCAGGTGTCCGGGAGGTGTTCGCCGATGCCATATTTGAATTTAGCGACGCAAAAAACCTCCGGGCGTCCAGTTTCTCTCCTTCCCCACATGAATTTCGGGAGAGTCCCACGGAGATGACGTCCATCGGCGTTCCTGAGCTCCAGGTGTAGGAGGTCGGTTTCGACGGGAAATTCTGATTCTGCGCCCCAAAAAACCCCCATAACGATTTTCGGTTCGTCTTTTTCGATTGTGTGAGGAAAACCCACGGAGATAAGGTCCGCGTCCAGGTTCCAGTGCACTAGGTGTTCGGGGGATCGTTTTTGACGTGAAATTTGGATTAAGCGCCCCAAAAAACGCCCCTGCAAAGATTTTCGAGTTGTTTTTGGCAATCTTGTCAGAAAAATTCTCGGGGATGACGTCCACGTCCAGATTCCAGCACACCAGGTGTCCGGAGGGTATTCGCCGATGCCATATTTGAATTCAGCGACTCAAAAAAACTCCGGGCGCCCAGTTTCTCTCCTTCCCTGCGTGAATTTCGGGAGAGTCCCACGGAGATGACGTCCATCGGCGTTCCTGAGCTCCAGGTGTTGGGGGGGTCGTTTTCGACGGGAAATTTTGATTCTGCGCCCCAAAAAACCCTCCATAATGATTTTCGGTGTGTCTTTTTCGATTGTGTGAGGAAAACTCACGGATATGAGGTCCGCGTCCAGTTT